CACAATGTGACAAATAATACAGAATTATATAGATGTTAATGTTGATGACAGAGCTGATATAGTTAAACTATAGATAAGAAGATTGATACAGCGCACATACACACACACACAATTCTCAGCATATTCCTAAAATATGCAAAACGCAGCGGTCGACTTCGACCCCGTAACCTCCTGCTGCATTACCCATAATAAGGAATATACCATAACTCCCATAGTTTAGGGTCCGTAAGGTAATGCAGGATTTATATGATCAACCGTAGTTTAAGGCTTTTGGGCCCAAAGACCATGCTATTTGAGGCTTTTGGGCTATTTTGAGCCTTAGGGTAAGGCATGTGGGTGGTTGTCAAGATTATGGTCCCTTTTTCGGTGCCTTAGCAAAATAGGGCACCTAATAGTTAGGGCATCCAAAAAGGGACCATAATTTTGACAACCACCCATGTATGCTCGGGCCTTCAGAATCCCTTTTCTTGGGCTTCTTAAGGCCGGGAGTTGTGACCTGTGTCTTGCGAAAGCTGGGTCCTGAGCTAATTCACGGTGTTACCGCCCCGGTTTAGACCCTTCAACAGATCATACAGCACGAAATCCGAATCAAGAGCAATAAAGCAAAAACTAACGTAACATTAAGAAAAACAACAACAGTAACAAGAATGACTACAGGAAAAATGGTGATTAACAGCCCAAAACACCTGAACATCTCAAACGAAAACCCGGAACCCTGAACCCCAAAACACTTTTCTACACCCGTAGGGACACCCTTGTAGAACCCTCAAAGAGGCCTAACCCTTATAAACCCCAAAAGCTCCAGCCGCCCTTGTACTAGACCCAAGAGTAACCTGGGAATAAAAAGGGTGCCGTTCTAATTGGTTTAAAGGAGCTTATCAGGGATAAGGGCCTACCCTAGGTCCTAGTGTACGTGCGCGCCTTGAGCACCGTCACTGGGTGCACGCGGCAGCTGAGAGGCTGCTCGATGCTGCTCTTCTGCACGCGGGACCTCAGGCTTAGAGTTTGGAAACCCTAAACCCTAAACCCTAAACCCTAAACCCTTAGGGCTTAAGGTTTTGGAGCTTCTGGCCTTAAGGGTTTCCGTCGGTGCTGCTACACTCAACAGTTTGTTGCTTCCTTTAGGATTGTTCACCCTCTGCTCTTTACCCCTCTTCTGGGTTCAGGGCCTAGGATTTCCCCAAAAATGTTTTGATTTGAAATTCTGTTCGGAGGTTCGGGGGTGTGACAGAAAGTTTAGACTAGATAATTTGGCTTCGGGGTATCGGCTTATGGAAGGCTTTGGGCTTTCTAGGGATTCTAAGGCTTCAAGGGTTTAGAGCTTATGGGGTAAGGTCAAAGAGGGAAGAAGCCTACACCCTGAAGTCTAAACAGTCGTAGAGTTTTGGCGTCAGGCTTAGCATTGTGGGAGCGTGGTGGGGCTCGGACACTTCTATTCTTCGCAAGATTAAAATGTGTACTCCCGTAAACTATGCCCCTCTTAGAACCATAATAATTCAACTTGCGCACTCTCTTCGGTTTTATATGAACAAAAATAAGAAAATGAAATCCAAAGGAGACTACCGTAAAGAGAATGCAGTAAAGTGAAGCCTTGTGGCTGTGATGTGGAGTCCAAGGGGGCTGTGTGACTAAACGTTGAAGGTAGCTCCTTGTTGCTTTTTGAGCATCGCGTCCTGACCCGGAACCCAATGTCAGGGTTACGTCTCTAAGCAGAGCTACGAATAGATAAGACCACCAAAGCATGACCCTGAAACCGAAGCACTGCATGTACCTTAAACCACAATCCCAACATTCCCAGAGTTGGGCCTGGATAAGCAATAACAGTGTGCACTTTGTAACATAATCATACAGGCACTAAACGGGAAGACTAGTATAAGTATATATGCATATATATATATATATATATATATAACTATATCTATGTGTATACATATATATATATATATAATAAATAAATAAATAAATAAATATAAATAAATAAATATATATATATATATATATATATATATTCAGGCCTCCGCCCAAAACCCAATAGCCCGGATCCTTATAACAAGGACCCTACTATTTAGGGTACTATATTAGGGTCCCAGATTTTCGGAAACTCCCAGAGACAACCCTTGCCGAGTTTAGGGCCGAGGATAAGGTTTCAGGTGACCTACAGTAAAAGCCAGAAAGTTGGAATATCAGTATCGTAACCCCTTTAAGGTAAATTATAGGGGATCCTACCATTAATCCATATTCCAACTTTCTGGAGTTCCCTTTAAACCCTCCACATCAATGTAAGGGTGGTATATGGGAGTTTCCGAAAATAGGGGACCCTAACATAGTACCCTAAATAGTAGGATCCGCATTATAAGGAACAAACACTACCAAAAAGCAGCGATACCCGGAACCAAAAGCCCGGCCCCCGACCCTAAACCCTAAACCTTCCTAAACTGGGTTTAGGGTTTCGGGTTTCTGAGGGTCTGAAACCCTAAACCCTCCTAAACCCTCCTAAACCCTCCTAAACCCTCCGAAACCCTCCGAAACCCTCCGAAACCCTCCGAAACCCTCCGAAACCCTCCGAAACCCTCCGAAACCCTCCGAAACCCTGAAGCAAGGGCGCCCCGGCGCAATGTTGAAGCACTTGGGTGGGATGCCCTTGGTCCTCTTCTCGGGGAGGCCCCAAAGGGCCTCGAGAGTTTTCTGGGTTTAGGGCTTTAGGGATTTAGGGCTTTAGGCAATAATAATAAGGAGCCCTCAAAAGGTAGGTCTTTTCCGCTACAGGTAGGGTTTAGGGATTTAGGGGTTTAGGGATTTAGGGGTTTAGGGCTTGGGGGTTAAGGGTTTAGGGATTTAGGGTGTAGGGCTTAGGGTTTAGGGATTTAGGGTTTAGGGGTTTAGGGTTTTTAGGCCTTAGGGGTTTAGGGTTTAAGGATTTCGGGCGTAGGCGTAGGGATTAGGGATTTAGGGTTTAGGGATTAACGATTTAGGGATTTGAAGCTAAGGGTCTGGGGTTAAGGTTTAGGGTTTAGGGTTTAAGTCGTCTTTTGGGTGGAGGTCTTTTGATTAATTACGGGGCTAGTTGTGTTCTCGAGTGCTCTTTGTAGTGGTTTCTATAAGCTATTAAACGAAGGCGTTTCGGTGGAATTGTTTTCAAAACGGTTTATAGAAGCTTTCTGAAGGCAGCTTGTGTTGCAACCCTGTCAGCTGTCCAGGCTGCTGGCCGTACCCGCCAAACTCTCCCAACCTTATATAAACCCTAAACCCTAAACCCTAAACCCTGAACACTAAACCCGTTTGGCAGTTGAAGGGACCCAGTAGTTCCTTTTGGGGATTACCTTGTAGGATTCTAAACATGAACCCCGAAAAGGAACTACTATGGAGCCTCTGGGTAGTTGTAGAATTAGTTCTGTAGTTATGTGGTTACGTAGTTAAAAAGTCGAATTCACTTATGCGGTCGTAAAGACATATAGACATAGAGACGTTAGACCCCCGGACCTATCGAACAACCCCTATGCAAAATCACATGCTAAGCTACCACCCAAGCAAATTGTCGCCCCATGACCCCACGTCGAATCTGCAGCTTGACCTAAACTTTCATAGGGATCCTTAGGGGTGTAGGGGGAGGGGGGTAGGGGGCCTTAAGGCCCATAATAAGGACTAATAAGGCCTATTTAAGGAAATATAGTCCCCTACACCCCTCCCCCCTACACCCCTAAGGATCCCTATGATAAACCTTGGAAACCCAGACCCGAAACCCTAAACCCCTGTATAAAGCCCATATTCACCCTGAACCCTGTTCCCAGAGACTCCAATATCCCTTAATTAAGGAATATACCTTAAATCATCTTAGGGATCCTACTCTAATGTAAGGTATACTCCTTAATTAAGGGATGTTGGAGTCTCCGGGAACCTCTGAGACCTTTCAGGCGTTCAGAACCCACGGCGCCAATGTATATTATCAGAGCAGAAGCTTCGAGACAAGAGTAGCTCTCCGAATAGTCTTTATCTGGGTTGCAGTTTGGGGGTTCCGACAAGTATTTATGAATAGGTACCTCTATAGGAACCATAATTAGGGAAATTAAAAAGTTTCCGAAATCACCACGTAGTTATAACCAGTTTTAAGGGGGTTGAGGGTTGACGGTTTAGGGTTTAGGGGTTTAGGGGTTCAGGGTTTAGGGTTTAGGGGTTTAGGGGTTTAGGGTTTAGGGGTTTAGGGGTTTGGGGTTTGGGGTTTAGGGTTTAGGGTTTAGGGGTTCTGGTTTAGGGTTTTGCGCTAAGGAGCCATCCCTCGAAAGCGCTTATGTAGGGGCCTGCAGAATTAGAATAGGGTTCTGCTTATTGCAATTATAGTACGATATACCCCCAAACCAAATTCTAATTGCTAAGGCCCCAAAAGAAGCAGGTTCCAAACGACTAAGCTGGGCTTCGAGTGCATACCCTGACTTACACAAGGCTTCCAGTTACGGGTGGGGTGTAGTTCTTTGAGGAGAACCTAAATCTACTAGAGCCCGTGCTAGCAAACCCCATGGAAAACATTCCCTGAACAAGTGCATTGGGCTTCGGATTGCACTAAACTGAAGGCTTCCTGAGTTCAGCTGTGAGTTCACGGCTTCGGGTTGAGAGCATGGTGTTCACTACCGGTATTCTCATAGCGACACCCAACCTATACAGTCACAATCATCCTCAAACATCCTCCAAGCCTTAAACCCTGTCAGGGGGAGCTTAAGGATTTGGAAGTTGGGGGGGGGGGGGGGGTTTAATGTAATTAGGACGGCCACTGCGATGATTACTAGTGCTTTCTATCATTGTCACAGTCGTTGTGACTATCACCATGTATCATGTAGTCAATACGGCTATTGACATTACTGTGGTAGTCAGCTTGAACAGTCTAACCGAGTCTAATCATGTCTAACCGTATATGCAGTAATCGAGGTACTGCTACCGAGGCACAGTCGCTGCCATGCTGAAAACAAATCTACAATGAGACGTCGCGAATATCCGGGCTTTTCAAGGCTTCAGTGGGCAACGATGTGCTTCCGTAGGATGTCTGCAATCTGCAGGTGTCCAAAGTCTTGTGCACGGTCTAAGGCAGTTTTGCCTTCCGCATCGCGGGCCTGCGGTTGGGCTCCAGCTTCCAGTAAGGCCTCAACCACGTGCAGGTGACCCGAGATAGCAGCCCACATGAGGGCGGTGAAGCCTTGCTCACTGTGTCTCCCCTCTACTTGACTTCCGGCTGTTCTTCCATCCTCATTGCGGGCCTCCAGCTGGGCGCCAGCCTTCACCAAGACCTCGACCACCTTCAGGTGCCCACTCACTGCAGCGAGCATGAGGGATGTATAGCCACCAATCTGACTCCGGGCCTCCAGCTGGGCGCCAGCCTTCACCAAGACCTCGACCACCTTCAGGTGCCCACTCACTGCAGCGACAATGAGGGATGTATGGCCAATCTGATTCCGGGCCTCCAGCTGGGCTCCAGCCTTCACCAAAGCCTCGACCACCTTCAAGTGGCCATTTGTTGCAGCAGAGATGAGGGCGGTGCTGCCTTGCTCATCGTGGGCCTCTAACTGGGCGCTGGCCTTCAGCAACGTCTCGACCAGCTCCACGCGTCCCTCTAATGCAGCATAGATGAGGGCTGTGTGGCCGAGCAGGTCCGGAGGGTTCGGATCGGCATTCTCTTGGAGGAGGTGCTCCACATGCAGTTGCCTTTCTGGGCCGTCGAGCTCACTCATCCCAAGCTGCGCCTCCCAAGCCCTTGCCTTCAGATGCTTGGACAGCTCACGCGTTCGACTCCTAAGCGTTGTTGTCTGCTCCCAGACTGGCTCCTAGGTTGGCCCTTCAAAGCCTCTGAAAAATATTCGTAAATAGGGCCCCATTAAGCCCAATAAGGGAAAACATAAAATGTCCCAAAGGCCTACCTAGGTTCTCCGAGCTCTTCACCACAGTAATCAGCAGCTTGTGCGTGAGGCTGAGCTCGTTCTTGCTGAGCTTGTCAGCGGCCGAGGCCGCAAGACGAGGGCTCACGACCTGGCAGGGAGCTCCGGAGAAACTTATATAATATGATATCATAATGTGTTATACTATAATTAATTGGTTCGGGGTGATTGTTGTGGGGCAGGGTTTGTGCAAGCCCACTTAGGCACAGATCTATGCGTTAGTGTTCTCAAATGGTTGGCTCGTCGGCTTCCCGGTAGGAACTCTGGCGTCCCCTCAACCGTAAACCCTAAACCTTAAACCCTCAACCCCTCAACACCGTAAGTTTCCCAGGGTCAATATTTAGTCTGAGGTCTCAAGTCCTTCGGTACCTTGAACCACAAAGGCCACACGGAAGACGCATTCAAGGTCTGGGGGCGAGGGCAGGGATTGCAGACATAAAGGCACTTATCATATAGCCGGAGCAACTTGAAGACTCAAAGCCACCACCCCTGATACTGGTACCAAACATTCGCGGAAATTTGAAGCAACGATAAAACCTGGGGGAGGGGATTATGTTGAAATCTGGGTATGCATACACACGCACACACACACTTGTATATGCATAGATGATGAAATACTCACTGACTTACTAACCTGTGCACATCCAGACGATGTACATCCCAAATACAGTACAAGTGCGACACCAACAAATTCACTTGTGTAATTTGCAGGGCTACAGTCTTGCGACTGCCACTGTGGCTGTGTACTGTTGTGGGGTCCCTCATACATTAGTCATACTCAGGTACTACAACAACATAAGCGAATACTCTCACACAGCGCATCGATCCAAGACATAAACGAATCAGCACACCGAAAGTCGACCCTGCACCCGAGATTGCCGGGTGTTAAAATGGTAGCATAGGCTGGAACGATGACTGATGTCGTTACTTCAACTATCATGCTCCAAGTGGTGGCTTATGTGCCAAGTAATTACTTTGTATTGTGGTGATAGAGCGTAGCATGGTGATGCAAACACATAAACAGGCAAGGTATTGGCGTGTGCATGCATGTAGCGTGTATTGTGCAAACGAGGAATGCACGTGCTCTTGCAGTCGCCTGTTTTTGCACGTCTATGCATACGTGCATAGCATAGTGCTGCGCCTTTGTGAGGAATAGATGTATGTATGCACGTTTATGTAAGCCTGTATATGTGTATATATATATATATATATATATACATATATATATATATATACATTTATATATATATATATATATATATATATGGTCAGGCGTCTGGCGTTCCCAGCCCCCCCCCCCCCCAATGGTATGGTCTGCTAGGGGTGGGGGGGGGGGGTTGGCGTGTGCGGAAAGGGGTTGGGTGCCACTGGATGGTGGGGAGTGCTGGCGGCCAGGGCTCACGCGCAAGCCCTTCGCAAGCAAGCCGTAAACCCAGTAACGCAGCGCGTGCCCCTGTTTTGAGCAACCTTAACTTGTACTTAAAACGCTGCACCCAACCCGAAACCCCACCTAACTGCAGGCTCTAAGCCTAAAGCAGGCCGCAAATCCTCTCTAAGCCCTTGTCGACTCGAAGCCTTATACCTTGTAGCCGTATACCCAAAACTCAAAAGCTTAAGCTAAACCTTATCTAAGTTCTAAAGGTATGTGTTAGTCAATGAGCAAAAAGCTGACGCCATTGACTTTGGCAGCTGACGACAAAGGAACAAGGCCATGGCGACGGGTGGACGATGCCACGACGACGGGTGGACGACGACAGGACAACAACGCGACGACGACAGGACAACAACGCGACGACGACAGGACAACGACGCGACGACGACGCTACAACGACACCACGACGACGGAGCGACGACGACGTCGTCGCGCGCCTGTCGTGCATCCGCCACGCGAGCGTTGTCTGTCCGTCACGCGCCCGCCGTCCAGCCGTCATAAGGCCGAAATAAGGCTTATTTCGGCCTTATGACGGACGCGCGGCGGCTGCGCGCCGGACAGATGGCGGTTGCGCGACGGAGGTGCGGCGGACGCGCGGCGGGCCGCACATCCGTTACGCATCCGTTGTCTGTCCGTCGCGCGCCCGCCGTCCATCCGTCATAAGGCCGAAATAAGGCTTATTTCGGCCTTATGACGGACGCGCGGCGGCTGCGCGACGGACAGATGACGGATGCACGACGGAGGTGCGGCGGACGCGCGGCGGGCCGCCGCACATCTGTTACGATCCTTCGTCTGTCCGCCGCGTGCCCGCCGTCCATCCGTCATAAGGCCGAAATAAGTTAAGGCCTATTTCGGCCTTATGACGGCTACGCGGCGGACAGACGACGGACGCGCGGCGGGCCGCACAGCCGTTACGCATCCGTTGTCTGTCCGTCGCGCGCCCGCCGTCCATCCGTCATAAGGCCGAAATAAGGCTTATTTCGGCCTTCTGACGGACGCGCGGCGGCTGCGCGACGGACAGATGACGGATGCACGACGGATGTGCGGCGGACGCACGGCGGGCCGCCGACCATCCGTTACGATCCGTCGTCTGTCCGCCGCGCGCCCGCCGTCTATCCGTCATAAGGCTGAAATAATTAGGCTTATTTCGGCCTTATGACGGCTGCGCGCGGCGGACAGACGACGGACGCGCGGCGGACGGGCGACTGTCGCGCATCCGTCGTCTGTCCGCCGCGCAGGCGCCGTCCATCCGTCATACGGCCGGAATAAGCCATATTTCGGCCTTATGACGGATGGACCGTGGGCGCGCGACGGACAGACGACACTTGCGCAGCGGATGCTCGACGGACGCACTTCGGTCGCCCGTCTATGGCGCATCCGTCTCACTGCCGTCGCGCCTCCGCCGAACATTCGTCACGTCTCCGTCGTCTGTCCGCCGCGCAGCTTCCTTCCATCCGACATAAGGCCGAAATAAGCGTTGTCAAAACGTCTTCGCATCGTCGGCGTGTCGTCGCGAGGTGGTCAGGTCGTTATCTTGGTTGCCGTCGCTGTCGTGTCCATTTCGCGCAGCATCGTCGCATGCTCGTCGCGCCGTCGTCGCATTGTCGTCGCATTGTCGTCGCACCGTCGTCGCGTTGTCGCTGTGTCGTCGTCACACCGCCGCTGGACCGTCGTCGCATCGTCGCCGTGCCGTCGTCGCAACGTCGTCGTGTTGCCAGTTTCCTGGCCGTCAAGACCCGTCCTCTTATACTAGAAACCATACTCCACATGTCTTCAGAACTTAGATAAGCTAAACCCCAAACCCCACAACCATTCAGAGGGGGAAGAGGAACCCCACACCCCACACCACAGGGGAGCGGGGGGCCCACCCTATATCCGGACCATTGACCTTTGGGGGGGGAGGGGAGGGGGCTGCGGAGCGCGTGACCATATATATATGGTCACGCGCTCCGCGCCCCCCCTCCCCCCCAAATGTCAATGGTCCGGATATAGGGTGGGACCCCCCCTCCCCTGTGGTGTGGGGTGTGGGGTCCCTCTTCCCCCTGTGGGGTTGTTGTGGGGTTTTGGGGTTTAGGGTTTAGCTGAAGCTTTTGAGTGTTGGGTTTACCTTTACATACCTTTACAAGGTATAGCGCTTCGAGTCGACAAGGGCTTAGGGAGGATTTGCGGTGTATGTTCTGCTTTCGGCTTAGAGCCTGCAGTTAGGTGGGGTTTAGGGTTGGGTGTAGGGTTTGAAGTACAAGTTAAGGATACTCAAAACAGGGGCACGCGCTGCGTTATAGGGTTTACAGCTTGCTTGCGAAGGGCTTGCGTGCGAGCCCTGGCCGCCAGCACCATCCCACCATCCAGTGCCAGCTCCAACAGCCCCGACCCCTTTCCGCACACGCCAGCCCCCCCCCCGCCCCACCCCTAGCAGACCATACCATTGGGGGGGGGGGGGGGGGGGGAACGCCAGACGCCTGACCATATGTAACTACATATGCATCCGCGCATCGAATAGTTTTGGAATACTCAAAAACCCTGGCCCCATCGGGGGCCGCCGCTCGCTGAGGGTTAGGGTCCTTGCCCCGAGGCTCGAGATGGCAAGTTCCTGGCCTGGCGTAGCTCTTGGTCCTTCCGGTCTTGCACCTCCTTGGCCTCCAGTGGCGGGAGACATGCATACATGTATATATATATATATATACACATACATATAGATCTCTATATATACTTGTTTTTTTAATTATTGCCGTGGAAGAAACTCCCTACAAAGTTCTGGCTTAAGGCGAGACAAACTCATGGATAAAGGGTCACATTGCAAGGGGGCCTCCACCAACTTCTCCACGTGCTGTGCCAAGGCCTTGTCCAGGCTGCAAGCCCCCGAGCAGTCGATGCACTGCCACTGGAGCCGCGACCTCGTCGCGAAGGCTTCTGGGCTCCAGTTCGTCATTGCCTTGGCCCAAGAGGGCAGGCGGGCGAGGAGCCGCTTCTGCAGCGCAGGGCTCGTCTTGTCGCATGTGCCCATGAGGTCCACGACCAGCACTTTTGGAGACCAGAACCCGAGGCCCCAGGCTGCGAGCCCCAGTGTCGGGATTTCATGCGTTGACAGCACGGACTCTGACAAGCTACGCTCACCCGTGATCTGCTTGTTGACCAATGCGATGACCGTTCCTTGTGCCCTTTCGCGCATCCCGAGCACGAAGCTCATGCTAGCGATGGACCACATGTTCCCTGCAAGCGCTCTGGTCAGGGCATCTTCGTAGCAGGCGTCGAGGTTCTCGCTGGCCTCGATGGCTCGGCCCAGGAAGGTGTTCGGGTGCACGGTCGCGTGCTCGATTGCCTTGGCAAAGTTGGAGAGTGCGGCTTGCGTCGTGCGGCTCTCGGGGTCACCGTCCCAGAAGCCAGCCCAAAGCAGTGCACGATGATGAGTCTCGGTCAGCTCCACTAGCCAGCTCCTCAGGAAGGAGAGTGCTTGATATCGACGGAGCGTTTCGCCGGCCACATCCACGGAAGCAACGGCATCTCTGGAGACGCGGAGGGTTTCCACCAATTCGTTTCCCAACGCGAAGATGTCGCTGACACTGTCGGCGCACGTTTTGTTCGGAAGAATGGGGTCGTAGTAGTCGAGAAGCCAGTCGGCTTTCGGATGCGCGGATTCGCATGCAAGCGTGAGGTTGTTCATCAACCGCCCGAGCTGCTGATGGCAAGCGCCTGCGCTGGCGCTCTGCCAATCCTTCATGATGATGGCAACCCGCTCTTTAAGGATCTCCTCCTGTGCTTCTGCATCGCTGGGCTCGTCTCCGGCGGCTTCAGATGTGTTGGCCTCTGCCAGCGCAGTTCTCAGGAGCCCCTGCAGCTCCTCGGCGGAGCTCGCCGGATGCTCGTCCCACGGCGAGGCCGGGTCGCTCTTCGACCGGAAACCGGCTGCCAGGGCAATGAGAAGGAAGCCCACGATATGCACCATAGCGAATAGATTTCATATGGAACTAGACGTGGATATGCTAAACTGCGAGCCGCTCGAGAGCACTGCACACGGCACCTGTGGGACATGCAGCCCGGCGAAAAGCAAGGACCACCTAACAAGGAATCCCGTTGACCCGGCACAAGCCGCAGGCAAATTTTCTACGACCATCTCAAATCTAAGGCTTCCCGGCTCGGGTCTAGGATTGTCGGGTTGACTACGTGCTGTGAGAAAACGGTGTCTGAAGATACTGAGGCTGATGATTCCACATGAATGGGCCCCGAGTACAACTGCCGACCCTAAACCCTAAACCCTAGACCCAACCCAAAACCCTAAACGCTAGACTTCCCACAGTGTAAGGCGATATGCGACTGGGACCCAGACGTGCACTGGCTGAGCCATAGTCCAGCGCACGGGGCCTTGGCCGAAGCTTTGCAAGTTACTTTGGTTCTGATGCAAATCTACAAACAAGCACCCAAAGGGTCCAAGTATCATTCTGGTATATACTTATAGGGTATTTTGGGGGGTCTAAGTATATACCACGATGATACTTGGACCCTTTGGGGCAAGGACAGCGATTTCCGGCTTCTGGGTTGAATTTGGCAGGCTTAGGGCTTGGTAGAATGCAGGCTGCATCCATGGTCTCTGAACCTTCAGCTTTGTAACCATACACCCCAAGCCCCATTACCAACCTCAAACCCGTAAAAACCTAGAGGCCATTATAAACCCTAAGCCCGCACCATGCAGCACCCAAGTCACAGGGATCCAGGGATGAATCTTAGCGACTTCCTTCTTGACGCCAGACGCCCCGAGAGCCCCTGAAGTTAGGGGCCTGCTTTAGGGGTTTAGGGTTTAGGTTTTAGGGGTTTAGGGGTTTAGGGTTCAGGGTTTAGGGGTTTAGGGTTTAGGGTTTAGGGGTTTAGGGGTTTAGGGGTTTAGGGGTTTAGGGGTTTAGGGTTTAGGGTTAATTGGCTAGCCCACTTCCTGCGGTTCGCTCCTCCTTCCTCAGATTCGAGAGTTTCGCTTCTCCGTCCCAGATTCTTTGGTCCCTTTCGAGCCCTTCGCTCCTTTTTCTCCGACTCTCTCGTCCCTTTCGACCGAATTGCTCCCTTTTTTCATTCTCTGGTCGTTTACGAACGGCTTGTCTCAGATTCTCTAATAATCCCGTTCGGAGGGCTCGCTTCTCTTCTCAAATTCTGTATACGCCCTCTGGAACGGTTCGCTCGACTTTCTCAAATTCCCCAGTCCCTTTCGAGCGATTCGCTCCTATTTTTGTCCCTTATTCTTAAACTGTCACGTCACTCTCTCCTTTTTCACAGATTCTCTATTCCCTTCCGTGGGGTTCGCTCCTGATTCTCGGATTCTCCAGTCCCTTTCGAGTGGTTCGCTCCCTCTTCTCCAGATCCCCTCCTACGTTTCGAGCGGTTCGCTTCTTTTGCTGTCAGATTGTAGTAGAAGCCAGAAAGTTACATTAGACTCCTCATGCCCTTAAGGTAAAGTATAAGGTATCCTAGCACTAATTCTCCTAAAGCCATGTTCTAACTTTCTGGCTTCTACTGTATCTGTATATTATCTAGTCTCTCGATCGGTTCGCTCCTCTTTCTCAGATCCTCTGGTCCCCTTCGAGCGGTGCGCTCCTCTTCAACAGATTCTCACGAGATGTTCGAAAGGTTCGCTCCTTTTTCCGAATCTGTAGTCCCCTTCGAGCGGTCGAATCTCCGGTAATCCCTTTCGAAGGGCTTGTTTCTTTTCGCCGACTCTGTATAGGCCCTCTCGAAGGGTTCGCTCGGCTTTCTCAAATCCTCGAGTCGCCTTGGAGCGGTACGCTCCCTGTAACACAGACTTTCACTGCTTTTCCGACTGGGTCGCTACTCCTCCTTCTTCTTAGACTTCTCTAGACTCTAGTCCCTTTCGAAAGGTTCGCTCCGCTTTCTCAGGTGCTCTAGCTTTCGGGCGGTTCGCTGCTCTTTCTCAAGCTAATTTAGTCCCTTTCGCGCGATTCGCTCCTCTTTGTCAGATTCCGTGCATCTTTCTCTGCTTTTCTAGTCCCTTTCGAACACTCCTCAATCTCAAGTGTTCATGTCCCGTTTTCCTCCGTCGCAGATTCTTTATTCCTGTTCGTGGGGTTCGGTCCTCATTGCTCGAAGGGGACCAGAGATTTTCAGAAAGAGGAGCGAACCGCTCGAAAAGGACTAAAGAGTCTGAAAAAGAGAAGCGAACTGCTCGATTGAGACTCCTCGATAGGGAGTACGGAATCCGAGAAACAGGAGCGAACCGCTTGACAGGGACGACGCGTACTGCGAAAGAAAAGCCCACCGCTTAAACGCTACTAGGGAATCTGAGAAAGTGGAGCGAACCCTTCGAAAAGGACAACAGAATATGACGGCACGGGGCTGGGCCTTAAGCATCCACTTGGCAGGATGGAGGCTGTTCAGGATTGAGGGTGTGGGTGCACTTCCGCCAAGTCGCAATCGCCTTCCTCTGCACGTCTTATCGGCTACGGCTGGCTATCTGCAAATCCCTTGAGCCAGATGAACGATCGCCACCAGGTCTCGGCAGTGGTTTGGGCTTCAGAACATCGCTCCTGAAACCGAAACGCTCATGAAACCCTCCCTGCCCCAGAAACTCCCCTAGACGATAAAGTCCTAAACCGAGCCTGTTGGAACCTCCGTCAAGCCGGGAACCCCGGATTCAGGCTTCAAGCCCTTGAGAGATTTGGCGTTTGGGGTCGGGGTTTGGGGTAAGGGTATCGTCGAAGCCTGTGATGGCACGAAGCTTCTCGATATACCCCCTTTAGAACCATAGTAAAATAGTATGCTTAATCTTCCCTTGGGTTTTATATGAACAAGAATAACAAAAATAACTCCTAAGGAGACAATAATTACAGTATGGTTGCAGAGCTCAGGGTTGGGCGTGTTGGGCTTGGGGCAAGAAGCGAGGAGGCCATATTGGTTGAGTAGAAGGAACGATGCTACTGCTAACTGAGACTTCCTGTGCTAGAACCCATTGATGCAAGATGCCCTTGAGATAACCACACGATACAAACCCAAAATATAGAGCAACCTCGGTTCGCTGCAAACCAGTAGTCTGCCCTGTAGAATAGAGTAGCCCATGGCGTCAAGTTTCGTCCACATGGATACCCACTACGTCTGTCAGCTATAGAATGTAACGGTCCTACATCATAACAACGCAAAACCTGAAAGGCGCGTATTCGAGAAACTAGGTCTTGATTCATGAAGATCAAAACCTGAAGCGCCGCAGCCTAGGAACCTAAAGTCCTTTGTCTCAAACCTCTTTGCAAAGCCCAGAGCCCAACACGAAGGGGGTACTAAGCAGAACATTTTTGTACTGCAACAAAAACTGTCTAGCGACGATAAAAGGGAGATCGGTGCTAGTTGATAAACCCTAAACGAAGCTGTAGGCATCATAGCACAAGAGGATACGCTTAGTAGCCATTGTTACCAGTAAGCTGGCTCTCTAAGCTGCTTTAACACGAAACCTCAATGCAAAGCACGAAGCGACCAAACCGCCTGAACCCCAATCACGCAAGCCCTGAACCCTAGACTTTACAAACCCCACTTGCCCTACAGCAAACCCAATTCGCTACACTCTACAAAGCCCCACAAACCTTTACATATCATCCCTTATAGCTATATCCCTAGACCCCTTCTTAAGAACCCTCAAAGAGCCCTTTTCAAGTTATAAAGACCCAAAAACCGCTTCTTTGCTCACGTCACACGGACGCTCTGCAGTCCGCCGTAGTCGTCGAAGGCCTCACCCAAGGGTGCCCAGGCAACCTGCCAAAAGAGGCGAATGTAGGGGCCTTAAGGGTTTTTAGGGTTTAGGGGTTTAGGATTTAGGGCATAGGTTCTTTTAAGGCTACTATAAGACAGCTCTTGCAACACGAAGATAAGCATCGGAATCGGGGTTGTTTGAGTCTTCTCGCATCGTCAGAACTCCTTCCTCGGGAAGCTCTTGCATCGCCGTTAGGGTCTTAGGGTTGAGGGTTTAGGGAAACAAGCGAAACCCCATGAAACTCATGTTTCAATTAAATTGTGAACATCTAACAAAACCCCACACGCCCCTGCAAACAAAAACTGTTTAAGGAACCATCAAGCCCTGTGATCCGCAAAAAAAAGCTTACCCAAAAAGCACATAACACCCGCTAAGATGGTGTGTGTAACAAATTCATCAGAGGTTCAGGGTTTAATCCGGGAGCCTTATTCATTCGAACAGGGTTTGGCGGGTATGCTATAGTATAGTTTCGTTAGGAACAAGAAGGGTGGACCATTTCCAACCATTCCTGAATCCCCTATATAACCCTGAAAGGAACCCTGGCGAACAATAGTGTCGGTAAGTATTCCGAACCCTACAATAGATGTTGGGTTTTAGGGTTGGCGTTTAAAGCTCACGCCTTAAAACCTCAAACCCCTAACCCTAAACCCTAGAGCTTTAAAAGCTCGGAGGCCCTAAACCCTAAACCCTAAGCCCTAGGTTTTAAAAGCTTGGGGGCCTGCTGCGCCATGAAGTACTCCGACTGGATTTGTACCAGTGCGGCCCAGGGCGCTTTTATGCAGTCGATGCCTGGGCCATCGATGGCCATCGATCCAGATCTGAAGGTTTGGGCTGTAGTTTAGGGCTTAGGGTTTGGGGCTTGGGGTTTAGGGATTTAGGGGTTTAGGGGTTTAGGGGTTTAGGGGTTTACGGTTTGGGGTTTAGAAGCCGGATCTGAAAGTTTGGGCTGTAGAGCTGAAAGCTTCAAGGGCGTTCAGATTTTAAAGGTCTTCAAGGGTTTAGGGTTTGGGCTTTAGGGTTTAGGGTTTAGGCTTTAGGGTTTAGGGTTTAGGCTTTAGGCTTTAGGCTTTAGGGGCTGACAGCGTTTCGAGCTTGGGGTTTGGAGTTTGCACCTGAGGGCTTTTGGTTTAGGGCCAAGGGTTCAGGGATTAAACCTGATTAAAAGCTCAAAGCTTGACGTTCGGGGCTTCGGGGCTGACAAGCCGATC